ACACACACACAAACACACACACACACACACAAACAAACACTCACACACACACACACACACACAAACACACCACACACACACACTCTTGTACACACTGATGGGGCTGAGCTTAATATTAATGCATTGCAGTTTCTGAATTTAAGGGCATTTTGTCTCCTTGACATGTTTTGAGCCTGTGTTGAAGCAGCTGAGAAGCGTTGATCACTGTCGTTCTGAGAGAAGCAGCGCAGTGTGAATACTGAAGCGCTGTGGTTATGGAAACACTGATCCTCGCGGCCGCCGTATCACACCACCCTCAGCAGATGCAGCTCCGCTCAGCCCTCCCTCCCTCCATCCCATAATCCACCGCTCTCCGTCTGACTACATGATACACAGTCTTAACTTACAGCTCACACACACACACACACACACACCGGCTGAGAGATACACAACACATTAAAAATCAACCATGCACATTCTCAAGCAGCTGCTATATCAGTCAACATCACTGAGCCAAACTCAACACAGAGCTCAATGTCAGGGTTAGACCAGCTCTACAGAGTAACACATGCAGCTGTTGCCTTGATTCTTCTCAGTGTAACCTCAGGTCGATCCATTCATATTAAAGCACTTTTTCTAGTATCTACTTGAATAAAGCCAGAAATCATGGTGCTCTGGAGAAATGCATGGGAAACTCGCGAGTTGTGAAGGTGCACATCATTACCAGCGTGAGAGTAATCCAAACAACTAGCGCTCACACGTGATCTAACCAACTAACCCAGATGGCATGAGCCGCAGAAGACGCCCTCTTTACTCAGCACATTATCCTGCTTACTAAGCGACATTACAGTGGTCCACACAATCATAAAAATCACTCTTCCCCATTCAGCGAGATGGGCTGTGGTGAAAGCATAGACACACATGACTGCGGCCAAAAGAGGATCTCAGTGATGTTCCTGTAAACGGCCAGCTCTCGGTGCCCTGCTGGAAAGCAGAAGTGCTGGAGACCATTGAGCAACAGACTGAGGAATTCCCAAGACTTGCTTTCAGTCGTCTTGTGATTCAAGATAAATCTTTCTGCATTTCTTTCAGTAAGGATTGAGCATTTTAAATGAGATTTTGCACGTTTGCCTGTCCAGTACACTAATTAAAGTCAACACAAAGCTGTC